TAATTGAAAAATAGCCATAGTTTCAAAAGTAATTGAAATTTATCCATTTTTTTTATATAAAAATAAAATCTGAACAAAAACACCCTTAAAAATCTGAAAATATTATGCCGGAATTTGAATTTTTTACATATGAGCTTCCATCATAATATGTTGGAGTTGCAAGATAATATGTGAGAAGTTTATATGTAGGAGTTCCATAATCCAGCATATTATGCTGGAACTTTCCGTGTGCTGGAGTTCCAACATCATATGCTGGAAGTTTATACGCATGAACTCCATAATCCCGCATATTATGTTGGAACTTTTCGTGTTTAAGCAAAATAGTGATTATTTTTCAATAATTTTGCAAATGCTGGCTATTTTTCAGTTATTAGTTCAAAAACTGGCTAGTCCGTGAAATTTGGATCCTTTGATAGAAAAGATCCAAATGAAATTGGGCTTTACTAATTATGATAATGTATTGGGCCAACCTACATAAAACTCTATATTGCACACTTAATTGAAGTCGGGCTGAAAGTTCCGCTTGCCTTGTCATCACCAATGAAAATCCAATATCTCAAAGCCCAATTCCGAAACCCTAGTGCCTATAAACCTCTCTCTTTTCACCTCACGCCCACTTTTACACTCCAGCATTTAGAAAACCCTGAACTAAACAGCAAGCAGCATGGCTGAGAGAGGAGGATTCGGCCGTGGATTCGGTGGTCGTGGTGGAAGAGGCGGAGACCGTGGTGGTCGTGGCCGTGGGGGCCGCCGTCCCCGCCGTGAAACCGAAGAGGAAAAATGGGTCCCAGTCACCAAACTTGGGAGACTCGTAAAAGACAGCAAAATCCGTTCATTGGAACAAATCTACCTTCATTCACTACCAATCAAGGAGTACCAAATCATAGACACACTCATCGGTCCATCTCTAAAGGACGAAGTGATGAAAATCATGCCGGTTCAGAAACAAACCCGGGCCGGACAGAGAACCCGGTTCAAGGCCTTCGTTGTTGTAGGTGACGGAAATGGACACGTGGGATTAGGCGTCAAGTGTTCGAAAGAAGTGGCGACTGCCATTCGTGGCGCGATTATATTGGCTAAGCTTTCTGTGATTCCTGTGAGGAGAGGTTATTGGGGTAACAAGATTGGAAAGCCGCATACCGTGCCGTGTAAGGTTACAGGGAAATGTGGGTCTGTGACTGTCCGTATGGTGCCTGCTCCACGTGGTGCTGGTATTGTGGCTGCTAGGGTTCCTAAAAAGGTGCTGCAGTTTGCTGGTATTGAGGATGTCTTCACCTCCTCTCGTGGATCCACCAAAACCCTCGGCAACTTTGTCAAGGTTCGTTTTTAATTTTAGTCTTACTTTAATTGTGATATGGCTTTTTGTTGTGTGTTCAATTCAACCAATTGATTTTGGCTCGGAGTATGTTTGCGAATAAATTAGAATATCTATATAATTCTTCCTGTCGACTCTGAATCTGGATCCTTGATTCACCTCTCCTATTCCTGTTTAATTCTAATGTGAGGTTATCATAGGTAGAAATGCATGTTATAAAACCAATGGAAATGCAATTAATTATGTTATAAACCAATGGAAATGCAATTAATTATGTTATAAACCAATGGAAATGCGATTAATTATGTTATAAACCAATGGAAATGCCATTTCTGAAGCTAATGTTGAGCATGCTGTCACATACAAGAAACTGGTTCAATATTTTTTGCATTCGATCGTTAGCCCAAGTTGAAGTCATTATTCACTAGGATTTCTGTAGCTAATGTTGAGTGTGATAGTAGTTAGTTTTTTTTGTTATGAGAGTTGGAGTACATGGCATTGCTTAAGAAACATGTTTGATAAAAATCAAAACATGCCTAACATGTCACTTTATGTCTTGGTTGAAATTGAGAATTGTCTTTGGGGTAGGATGTGGGACAGTAAAAGAATGCTTTAACTTTGGAACTAGTGAGTTTCCCATCTGTAGTTTCTGTCCTACTTTTGGTACTTGTAATTGTCTGTACACAATGAAACTTATGCGAGGTTGTGAACTACTCTGCTCTAGGGAGAGCTTCAGTTATACTCTTTCTGTCCAATTTTATGTGAATCTTTCCTTTTCCTTTCTAGTCATTCTTCGCCTTTCTATATTTAAAACAATTTAACTCAAAGTTTTCCATTTTATCCTTAATTATGTGATTTTATAGCCACGCATATGTTATGCCATGTTTAAAATCACAAGTTTTCCCGTCTTTCCATACTCAGTCAAGCACATTCCCATGTCACTTGGTTTTGATTTTGTTTGAACTTTTGGTGCTCAATGTTTTTCTTCTATGCAGGCAACCTTTGATTGTTTAATGAAGACATACGGTTTCCTTACTCCAGACTTCTGGAAGGAGACTCGCTTCACTAAATCTCCTTTCCAAGAATACGCTGATGTCTTGTCAAAGCCTGCCAGTAAGGTTATTGTCCACTCAACTGAGGAGGCAGCACCTGAGACGGTTCAGGCTTGAGTATGAGTTTGTTTTGTTCTAAAGTTGTTCTTTTTAGGATTTGATTAAACAATGTTGTTGTTTCCAATTTTGGTTTACATTTGAAAGGGTGTTTTTGGTACATTTGTCCTCGGATAATTTTAATCTTTGCCTCAATATATTCTGCCTGGTTGATTTTGTTGGTGATCCACCCAATGAACTTGCCACAAACTCTTTGATATGCTACCATATGAGTACTTTGCGTTAGGCAAAAAGTTTATCTAGATTGATCCGTTAAAGTTTGAAATTTTTAGGTACAAAGGAAGGTGCTCTTTTATTGATTTGTCTCATTGAGGTCGTTACATGTTTTGACAAACTATGGTTAATTGGCTGGAGTCGTCGAAGATCAACATGTTTTGACACTACGTTAACACTTCTTTTTCTTTCATGTTGCCTTGCTAGAGATATGCTCTCTGTGTACCTCTTATGGTGTGATATAATAGTATGTGGACCCATTTTCCGGAGAATAGTTTGCTAGAGGAAACCTAGCCACTTCTCAACTGACTATCTGCCAATTAGAAAATCTCATTCTCAACTTCTACTATCAAAATCCCCTTGATGAAAAAACAACAATTACACCACGGAAATCCCTCCATCTTTCCAGAAGCAAGTGACGGTGTAAAAACTATATCAACGGAGGGAAGCTGTCCAGACGAAATGACTTCAACTCTGACAAAACTATTTGTGTCAAAACTGTTTAAGATGAAAGTTTGATCATCAAACAGTGCAACAAGAAGCAAGCGCCAAAAATGGGATGCAGATTGAGAAACGAAAGAAAAAGTTAGCTTTCTACGAACTCTGCTAGCCGGAAACATTTAGCAGGAAGATTACTTAACACAAATAGGCAAGAACTTTAGTAACCTTTTACCTTGAGGATGAAACCAAGAACACAATTAATATTCGTACCCTCGTTCCTCTTACCACCCTAGACAAACAAAGGATATACATATACCATGGGTAAATGCATTAATCATCAAAGCATTTGGGAGGAAAGTATGCTATAACAACCTGGGAGAAAGAGTCACACGACTGTGGAAACATAGTGAAGCATTAACCCTAATCGACTTAAACTTTAACACCTTTCTCATACATTTTCAAAAGCCTGAATATAAAATACTGCTTCATTAGCGGACCTTGGTTCATAGGTAACTAATTTCTCACCACTAGGAAATGGGAACCACTATTTCCCTATATCAAACTTCACTTGCACACACTGCATTATGGGTTAAATTACCTAATTCCCAATATGACTATGAAATTCTCACCGGAATAGGAAATCAAATTGGAAAATTACTTAGGATCGTCAATTGTACAATATCAGCTAGTCGAGGAAAATATGCAAGACTTTCTGTCCTGGTAATCAAAATAAATCCTCTATTAGCTGAAATATATATAGGAAAACAACATATAGCATATGATGGCTTCAATAACGTTTATTTATCCTGTGGTAGATTAAATCACAAAACCATATTCCGTCCTTACAATCAAACTAAAATACAATAACCCCAAACCCCACATTGTTCATAACAAGGGATATATCTAAGACAATAAATAGACCATTGTCATCTACAAAAACAGAAAAAACTCTATTTAGGATTGTATGGGCAAAAAATTATCTTAGTAGACCATGTCAACATTAAGAAGGCCTTCGAGGGCTGCCACATGTCATTAGTATGACTCCAACAAAAGACAGATTCAAGGTCGAAGTGATCTGGTAAGAGATGAAGGGCTAGGTCGAGGAGTCAACAGAGATCAAAGTCGAGGAGGAGCACTCTCCTTAAACAAAGTAATAACGACTAGTTTTAGGATAAGACTTTAAAGGAAATATTCGAGTGAATATTCTCTAGATATATACTATTAGGGTTTTGTAGCACATGTCCCCTTATAAATACAATGGGACATAGTTATAGGGGACATTGAACACTCATTTGTAAAAGAATAAAACTTTGACATTCTTTGAAATTCTTGCTTTATTACATACATACAAAAGACACCTTTTTCTTGAGATCCATGTCTAACTTTTCTCCCATGATACAAGGAGAATCTGAATATTCAAGGTTTATCAATCATTTATCATTGTCAGAAGGAATATTACACGACTTCATCTTCTCTTTCGGTCATCTCTGTTACATATATTTACATAAATACCATTATACATTATTTATTGCTATTGAATGCCATTTACTTCATATTTGCGCCATTAAGTGTTGTTCTTTATTATATATTTTTTTACTATTACCATAGATCTTGTAACATTTTGTCACGACACTAGTTAAATAATCTAGTAGATATTATTGTTGGCTAAGATTAACCCAATTATTTTTTAAAGAAAATATAATTTTTTAAACCTAGATCTAAATTTTGGGTCAAACAGTTTGGCGCCGTCTGTGGGGATTTCTTAGCTAATCTCTTAGTTTCCATTAGATCTACAACTCATGTGACTTGCTAACCTAACGGGTCACAATATTGTTCTCCTCTCTGCACGTACAGAAGTTTCGATGGCAGCTAACCAAGAAAACATGACAAGGGCGATATGTGATGTCTCCAGTAACCTCATGAACGCCATCAACGAGAGCTATGAAATACTGGGTGAGGATGTGACGCCCACTGCCTCCCCCAGGCGTGAGAGATCGCCTCCCCCTTATTGCAGTACAACGAAGCCAAACGAGAAAAGGAGCTTCCATGTCTACAGGAGAAGGGACGACACCTGCCATGAAGAAGCTCCTCGAAGCATGGCTAACCAATACCCTAGTAAGCATGCTCAACAAACAAGCTCCATGCACGACCATAGAAACCACAAGATCCCACACGGTGCAGCGAGGGGACGAACATGGCGATCAACCGGACCCTCCAACTACAGGTATAACTCACAATGTTACTCACAGTATAGGTGACAACATCCTCGCCACTGGTTTGAAAAGAATGGAAGAAATAGGGAATGAGAACAAGGCGCTCAGAAACGAAATGAAAGAACACCAGGAATGAGTAGACAAGATACTGGGTGCCCCTAAGCTACTGCCGAAAAGGGACGCGACAGGTTCGTAGAACAGCCGTATAGCGAGGAGGTGTACCCACATGCCATACCAAAGACCTTCAAAATGCCACCGTATCTCAGAATATGCGATGGAACAACAGACCCCGAAAACCATGTGACTCATTATGTCACCGTCGTGAAGGGCCACGACCTCACCAAGGAATATGGGTCATCCATTTTGCTGAAGAAATTCGGAAAGGCATTAACATGGTATTCATAGCTACCGGCTCGCTCCATAGAAGCTTTCGATGAAATGGCCGACAAGTTTGTGACGGCGCATATTGGGGCCAAGAAATCCAAAATGAGAGTAAATGACATCTTCGCCATCAAGCAATCCCTAGGAGAGGGACTGAGAGGCTTCCTCGCCCGATTCAATAGGGTAAGTATGACCTTACCAAATGTATCCGAAGGAATGACAGCCTTAGCCTTTCAGAACGGGTTGAGTAGAGAGGGTTCAACAGTAACCAGAAAGCTGCTGAGCAAGTTGATGAAGTATCCTCCAACCACTTGGGATGAAATCCATAATGCCTATTGTGCCAAGGTCTGAGCAGATGATGAAGACCTCAACGGACCAACTCGACGACTCAGTTTGGTACAAACCAAGCCTAGGAAAGAATGAAGAGATAACATGAGAAGGGATCACCCATTACCAAGGCCAAACAGGGAACGACATCAGCCTTATGTCAGGGCACCCGCCCCTCCTTCCTTTCGCTATGATGATGGCCCGTCTACTCCGAGGACGGTGGCTCACAGGAACGAGAGGGGTATTCCCCGTTTGTTATCTTCTCATAATTTTTGTGTTTCGCTTACAGAGGTAGTCTATGCCCTTGAGAAGCTCGGAACAAAGGTAAAGTGGCCGCCAAAGATGAGGTCTGATTCGAGCACCAGGATATCCAATGCCCTCTACAAGTTCCCACCAGGAACGCAGACACAAAACAGAAGATTGTATCGCCCTAAGACAGGAGGTAGCAAACATGTTGCAGCAAGGGCAACTCAAAGAGATGCTGAGTGGCAAAGGAAGAAGTACTTTTGCCAGGGGTAGAGAACGTCAAGGCCCGCCGAAGTCGTACTCACTAGCGCGTACCATCAATATGATTATTGGTGGCAGGGATGACTCCTCCATTAATGGCGTCAAGTTCATTTCCACCCATAAGCTCAAAAACTCGATCACCTATGAACGGAATGACGGACTCGAAGAAAGTACCATCTTCGACGAGTCAGATGCCAACAATTTGACTTTCCCTCATAATGATGCTCTAGTCATTACTGTACGAATTCTAGATAATGATGTTAAACGTATCATGGTAGATGATGGGAGTGGAGCGTGCATCATCCATCCCCGAGTCCTCGCCCAGATGAGACTCGAGGACAAAATAGTGCCACGTTGCATCACACTAACCAGCTTTAACAATGCAGTTGAACAGACCTTGGGAAGAATTGCACTACCCTTCCTTGCCGGTGGCATAACTCTAGAGATAACTTTCCACATCATAGACCAGGCCACCACATACAATGCCATAGTAGGATGACCATGGATACATCCTATGAGAGCCGTCTCCTCCAGCTTATACCAAGTGATCAAGTTCCCAGCATCTTGGGGAATATTCAGCATACGAGGGGAATAACGCACGTCCCGGGAATGCTACCGAAACGGTCGAGGTCGCTGCAAGAATGAGCTAGGGACATTATTATGGAACCCAAAATGGTCGAAGTAGCAAAACCAACTATAGAGGACCTCGACCCCTTTCAATTAGACCACTGTGACCCTAGTAAAAAGGCCTACATCGGCTGCAAACTCCGAGAACCAGGTACATTTAGTCAATTCTTAATAACTAACGCAGATTTGACTGCTTTCAGCTATGAAGATATGTCAGGCATCCCAAAAGAGGTCGCTACACACAAATTAAACATCAACCCTTTCTATCCCCCGGTAAGGCAGGTCCGACGAAATTTCAACCCCACCATCAACGATGATGTCCACGAGGAGGTAGAGAAACTATTAGCAAATGGCTCCATCAGGTAGTCGAAGTACCTTAAATGGATAGCCAATGTGGTGATGGTCAAAAATAAAAATAGGAAATTGAGGATGTGGACTTCATAGACCTTAACAAAGCATGCCCGAAAAATTTATTCCCATTGCCACATATCGACCAACTCATTGACGCAACGACTGGGCATGAGCTGCTAAGTTTCCTAGATGAATACTCGGGTTATAACCAAATACTCATGGAAGAAGATGACCAAGAAAAAACCACGTTCATCACCCACAAGGGAACATATTGTTATAGAGTCATGCCGTTTGGGTTGAAGAACGCATGGGCCACCTATCTGAGGTTGGTCACAAAAATGTTCAAAGATCAACTCAGCAAGACCATGGAGGTATATATCAACGACTTGCTGGTCAAATCCGTGAGGGAAGAAGACCGTATCGACCTTAAAGGAAGCTTTCGACATACTAAGACAATACGAGATGAAACTAAACCCCGAGAAATACGCATTTGGCGTAGCCTCGAGAAATGTTTTAGGTTTCTTAGTATCCCAACGAGGAATTGAAGTCAACCCAGATCAAATAAGGCTATCAATGGGATACCTGAACAACTGGAAACTAAGAAGCAAGTCCAAAGATTGGCTGGTCGAATTGCCGCCCTATTGAGATTTATCTCGCGGTCGTCCGATTGATGTCTTAGATTTTTGGCGTACTGAAAAAGGATAATGGCCTCGAGTGGATGCCTGAGTGTGTGAAGGCACTGTGAGAACTGAAGTCATATTTGTCATCACCATATTTACTCTCCAAGTCTGAACCCCGGGAACACCTCCTCGTCTACCTCGCCGTCTTCAAAGTAGCAGTGAGTGCGGTCCTGGTTCGAGAAAGTAAAAGTACACAATCTCCTAATTATTACATGAGTAAAACACTTGTCAATGCCGAGGAGAGGTACCCATACCTCGAGAAATTAGCCCTGACATTGGTCGTAGATTCACAAAAGCTTAGACCGTATTTCCAGTGCCACCCTATCTCGGTCGTTACTACTTTCCCTTTAAGAAGCATTTTGCATAAACCCGAGCTATCGGGGAGGCTGGACAAATGGGCCATCGAGCTAAGTGAGCATGACATCATATACTAGCCTCGAACAACGATAAAGTCGCAAGTGCTCGCCGACTTTGTCGCAGACTTTAGCGCAAAAGTAATGCCCGAGGCTGAGAAGGAAGCCGCTAAAGCTTTGCTTCAAACATAAGACCTCTGGGTCCTGTACAACGATGACACATCCAATGCTTGTGGATCTGGATTAGGTCTCGTACTCGAGGTCCCTACCAGCGAAGTAATTCACCAGTCATAAGATGCCTATATATGACTAACAACGAGGCTGAGTATGAGGCCGTAATCGCAGGGCTGAGACTAACACTCAAATAGGGGGCGAAGCAGCTGAAACTCTGGTGTGATTCTCAGCTCATGGTCAACCAAGTTACATGGACTTTCCAAATCAAATAATAAAGGTTGCAAAAATATCAAGTCGGGATCTATAAGTTGCTGCCCAATTTCGATGAATGCCAGCTCGACCACATCCCACGAGCTCAGAACATCGAAGCAGATGGCCTCGCCAAATTGGCCGCCGCCACAATAAACATTACGATCGAGGATGAAAGCGTATTCCATCTCCTCAACTCCTAACTAGACCAAATTGAGGTAAAATCTGTAGATATGACTAACAACGAGGCCGAGTATGAGGCATAATTGCAGGGATGAGACTAGCACTCAAATATAGGGTGAAGCGGCTGAAATTCCGCTGTGATTCTCAGCTCTTGGTCAACCAAGTTACATGGACTTTCCAAATGAAATAACAAAGTTTGCAAAAATATCAAGCCGGGATATGTAAGTTGCTGCCCAATTTCGACGAATGCCAGCTCGACCACATCCCATGAGCTCAGAACAACGAAGATGATGGCCTCGCCAAATTGGCCGCTACCACCAGAAACATCACGACCGAGGATGAAAACGTAGTCCATCTCCTCAACTCGTCACTAGACCAAATCGAGGTAAAATCTGTAAGTTTGATCTGTAAATCTAGAGCAGGATGGCACCCTCCTAAACGATAAAAAAGAAGCTAAAAACTAAGAATGCATGCGGCCAGATACAACCTCCTTCTTAACGAATTGTACAAGAGAACATATAGTGGCCCTATGACGAAGTGTTTAGGTCCGAATCAAACCCAGCGTGTTCTCGAGGAAGTCCATGAAGGTCACTGCGACGCTCATTCTGGTGATCGAGCACTCGTCAGGTGTCTCTTACGGGGCTGTTACTACTGCCCCACCATGAAGAAATACGCCTCAAAATTTGTGAAGAAATGCAAACAATGTTAGAAATAGGCCCCAATAATTCACCAAGCGGGCGAACACCTTCATTTGGTCACCTCTCCATGTCCATTTATCAAGTGGGGAATGGACATCGTGGGTCCACTCCCACCAGGATGAGGTAATGTACGATTTTTTTTAGTTTTAACTGACTATTTCTCTAAATGGGTGGAAGCAGGAGCATTCGCCCAAGTGCTCGAACAAGAGGTAATCACATTCATATGAAAAAACATCATCTGCCGATTCGGCCTACCCAAGGAGATAAGCTGCGACAACGAGCCCCAGTTCACGGGAAAGAAAATCACCGAATTCTTCGAGAAATGGCACATTAAGAGGATGCTTTCAACTCCTTATCACCCAGCGGGCAACGGGCAGACAGAATCCTTCAACAAGTCCATATTAAATATCATGAAGAAGAAACTTGAAGAAGCCAAGTGACTGTGGCCGGAAATAATCCCCGAAGTATTATGGGCGCACAGAACCACCCCAAAGACGAGCATGTGAGAGATGCCCTATTCCCTGGTCTACGGAATAGAAGCAGTTATAACATTCAAGGTCGGAGAACCCAGCCTACTCCCATGAAAGCGGCACCAACAACGACGAGAGTAGGAGACAAGAGCTCGATGAGGTCGACGAACGAAGAGATATGGCATACATAAGGATGGTCGCCCAAAAACAACAGGCAGAACGTTACTACAACAAAAAGGCAAAGGTCCGACCGCTCAAGATCGGAGACTACGTACTCAAAGCCAAAACCCAAGCAAACAGAGATCCACGAGAAGGCAAATTGGGAACCAATTGGGACGGACCATACAAAATTGTAGGCAAAGCGAACAAGGGTTCATTCCAACTAGAGACAATGGAAGGAAAACAATTACCAAATAATTGGAATATCAGCCACCTCAAATACTTCAACTTCTAGAAAATAAGAAGTGCCCCCAAGTCGTACTCTTTTTTCCCTCATTTGAGTTTTGTCCCATTGGGGTTTTCTCAAGGAGGTTTTTAACGAGGCGATAAGAAGGACACTTCGAGTTGGAGTATACGATAATAGACTAATTTTTTCATTGTCGGATTCCTCATGATTTTCCAAGTCGACCAATGACGGGATTAGATATACTGGGACTGGAACGCCAACCAACACCCAAAATTTGTAACTTTCTCAAAACAATTGTCCAAGGGCAAAATAATGTAATTAGAGCAATGACGTCAAAGTAATAGAAATTCACGTTTATCGAAACTACTCTAACGAAATGTTAAGTTCGACCAAGCTCGAACAATACTTACCGGCCCTCGGCCATGACTTAACAGAAGGTTAAGTTCGACCAAGCTCGAACAACATCTATCAGCCCTTAACCATAACTTAACAAAAGGTTAAGTTTGACCAAGCTTGAACAACACTTATCGGCCCTCGGCCACAACTTAACGAAAGGTTAAGTTCGACCAAGCTCGAACAACACCTATCGGCCACGACTTAACGAAAGGTTAAGTTCGACCAAGCTCGAACAACACCTATCGGCCACGACTTAACGAAAGGTTAAGTTCGACCAAGTTAGGACAATACCTACCATCCCTCGGCCATAACTTAACGAAAGGTTAAGTTTGATCAAGATCGAACAAAGCCTATCACCCTCGGTCACAACTTAATGAAACGTTAAGTTCGACAAAGTTCGAACAACACCTACCGACCCTCGGCCACGACTTAACTAAAGGTCGAACAACACCTATTGGCTCTCAGCCAAATCTCAACTAAGAGACATACTCGACCTATATAAACAAAGGGCCGATATAGCCCATGGATATTCGACTCAAAGGCTACGGTCAGCTAGAAGACGATAACAATAAAAAGGATAAATAAGCAAAACATGAAAACACAGAAGCAAAACATACAAGTATAGAAACAAATCGCAGCAAATGAAAAAGGTACATGTAAAACAAAGTTCTACTTAGATATTCATACTTAAAAGAGTTTTTACAAAGGCGCTCAAAGACGCCAAAAAAAATACACAAAAAGTTAAAACAAAACTATTGTCCATCGCCATCAAGGGCCTCAACACCCTTGCCGTCTCGGCCTTCAACATCATCACCACCTCAACCTTCAGCACCATCATCGTCTCGACCTTCAACGCCCTTGCCATCCCTATCTTGACCATATGTAGAGTCATACCAAACACCGTCCGCGAGTCGATCCAAATCCTCATCCTTATCCTCCTCGGGAACCAGGTCGGGGCATAGCAGGATCATAGCAACAAGCAAGCTGAGACTCACGAGCCTTGACCAGAGCATCCTCGCGGGCCACCTCAAAAATGAAGCACGTTACATGCAGGTCACGGAACACATCCAGTCGGGCTTCAGCATGAGTCCACTCTTCATACAGCTCCCGGGGGATGTTGGGGAAATCAGAATCATTAGATGAAGAAGGCTGCGCAAGCAGTTTTCTCGGCCTCCAGAGCAAAAACTCAATCATATAGCCCAGGGTGTTCCTTGTCCAACTCCCCTATCCTTTCCTCGAGTCGATCTTTCTTTGCCCTCGCTGTTGACCGATCATTCTCCCACGTAGAACGAAGAGTTTTGTTCGCCAGCTCAAGGATGTCCACCTTCCTCCGAGCATCCAACCGAGAAGATTCTGCCTGTTCAAGCTCCTCCTGCTTCTCGACAATCTCACCCCTGAGAGCCTCCACCTGGAACTAGCACTCTTCTATCTGGCCTTGCAGTTGGACCACTTGAGCTTGAAGGTCGCTACATTGGGCCTCCATGTCCTTACTATGCTCAAGCTCCTCTTCCATGCTCCTCAACGTTCCCTCGAGGACATTGCACTTTTCTACGGCTGCCATCAGCTCCTCATACCATTTCTTCAAATCTTGTCTCAAAGCCAGCACATTGCCTCCCTCATGAAGCCGACTTCGGAGATCCCGGTACTTCACACGGTACTCATTATACTTTCCTTTCATCTTCACGAAAATCTCTTTACGCCTTTTCTCCCTCCGAGCACTCTCAATTTCCAGAATGACCGTTTACAAATCAAAGAAAAGAGGTTAGAACTCAAAAATAATCTATGGCATTAGGAAAAGGGCAGATCACAATCGTACTTACCTTGAGAGCGAGGCCGGCGATACTCTTCAACAAAGTACTGTCTGTTATCTTATTGAGGGTCTCACCTTCGACATCAGAACAGAGAGGACCGAGGGCAGGGACAACCTCCTCGATATTAATAATAAAATCATGATCCATTGGGATCGTGATGGTCTTAGAACCTCCCTCTACTCTCACCTCGAGTTAGGTGAGCCCCTCATCGATCATCCTCATATCGACCAGGTCAATATGAGAACCCGACTCGTCGCCCTCCTCGGCGATAGTTTTCCCTCTATCACCGACGGGCGAAGAAACATCCACCACTACACTAGAGGACGAATCCTCCTCTTGCCATAGAAGTACGGGGCCTCCGTCAAGTGCCCCCACCACGACCGTCTCCCCCTCGGGATGCACCAGCACATCCACGACCACCTCTTCCAGTTATGGGGTCTCATTGCTTGCCCCAACATCTTCTCCTATATGAATCGTCGCCGTCTCTCTATAAATTAAGTCATCCTCCCTCGAATTAACGATAACTGGGATTTCCCCTCCGGTGTCCATGACTCTCCTCTTGTGAGGCCTTAGATCCCTATCGCCGGGGGAGACTTTGCCATCTTTGTCAATCAGCGAAATTAGCTAAGGAGAAGAGGCAACAGTTAGGATGGGGACAAAATCTTAGGCCGCAACAACAAGGACGGGTGCAGGTGCAGAAGGCAGAGTAGCCCCACCGGGGGAAGAAATCAAAGGCGTAGTAGCCCTTCTCCTAAACGAGGGCACGCACGCCCTGCTCCTTCGAGAAGACCCCATTAACTGGACCTGAGAAAGGGAGAAGTATAAAAGTTAACAAAGCCGTCCAACAAACAAAAAGAGGCAATGATCACGGCTAAAAGGGAAGTTACTTGTAGAAGGGAGAGCCGGTTTGAACTTCTTAAAAAACTCACCCAATCACGAATCCGTACGGCATGAGGGAGAATCTTCCCGACCCAGTCGGTGATGCATACGTTTAGAGGGGGAGGACAATTGTTGGTTACAAGAAAGGAATAATTACATGACTTGCCCAAAATAGGCGAAGAGATGCAAAAGGTAAAAACGAAAGAAACATAGACACTTACATGTATGATTCCAAGCCTCGAGGAAGCCTTCGGCATTGACCCGATGTCCTCGGTTCTAACATAAAAGAAATCGAGCCAGAATTGACAGATGACCTTGTCATCCATTTTTACCACCAGGCACTTGCCTCTACGGTGACAGAGGTTCAACATCGTTCCCTATAGAATCTAGGGGAGAACATGTGCACTAAATGCCGTACTGTCACTTCGACACCGGCGAGCTCAACAAACTTGGTCAATGTCTTGATGACTTTATAAACGTAGGGGTGAGCTGAGCAAGAAAAATGCCATAGTGGCGGTAAAATTCCTCCACCAGCGGGAGAAGGGAAATGAGAAACCGATAACAAACGGGTAAGCGTATAGAGCACAGTACCCGAGGCGGTGAACATGTACTTTGACCCCCTCAGGGGGATCAGTTGGATATGGCCAGGGAGGCCGAACTTGGCTTTAAATTCAGCCAACTGATTGGGCGCCATTGTCGACAAGAATTTTCCAAGTGTTGTGTCCGGTGATCATTGGAAATCGGACCTGGCTTCGGGGTTGTGGGGGACGATCTCCTCCACTGAGGGAAAAGATTCATCCTCTACGGTGGCAACTGCATTCTCCCATTGATCGGGGAACACAACCACTAACAGAACGACTTAACTCCCTTCACCTACATTAGATGATACATTCGACATGATTATGAGGAAGTGAAGAAGGATACATGAAAGAGAGTTTAGAATACAGAAGAGAGCAACGATGCAGAGAAGTGAGGTTCGGAGAGGAAGTTTGAAGTCTCAAAAGTTTGGGAGAATAAAGTTTTAAATTTGGGTTTGGCCATCCCTATTTATAGAGATTGAGGCACCAAATCCGAAACTGTTTGTCATAATGGGCACCAAACCCGAAACGGCTCATCATAATTGGCACCAGAATCGGAACGACAGATCCAATCAAAGGTCACGCGCAATTCGACGAGATGCGCTGGGAACAAGAATCATCATGATGCATGATGTCATGACGTCACTCCCTCTCTTGGACAAGAACGCTCCAACAAATCACCCGAAAAATTTAAGGAATTTGAAATACACGGCCCACGGAGAGCCACGTTATCTGCTCGCTACAACGACAACGACCCAACATATATGTTCGACAAGCTCGACCATAAACGACATTATCCGCTCATTGAACTCGCTCGCGAAGACAACCTCAACAAGCGGAGGGACTAACTGTATGAGCCAAAAATGATCTTAGTAGACCACGTCAGCATTAAGAAGGCTTTCGAGGGCTGCCACGTGTCATCAGTATGACTCCAATAAAAGACAGATTCAAGGTCGAATTGATCTGATAAAATATAAAAGGGCTAGGTCAAGGAGTCAACAGAGATCAAGGTCGAGGACGAGCACTCTCCTTAAACAGAGTAATAACGACTAGTTTTAGGATAAGACTTTAAAGGGAATATCTCCGGATCTGTGCTATTAGAGTTTTGTGGCACATGTCCCCTTATAAATAGAAAGAGACATAGTTACAGGGGACATTGAACACTCATTTGTAAAAGAACAACACTTTGACATTCTTGGTTTATTATATACATATAAAAGACACCTTTTGCTTGAGATGACTGTCTAACTTTTCTCCCACGATTCAAGGAGAATCCGAATATTCAAGGCTTATCAATCATTTATCATTGTCAGAAGGAATATTACACGGTTTCATCTTCTCTTTTGGTCATCTCTGTTACATATATTTACGTAAATACCATTTTACATCATTTATTGCTATTGAATGCCATTCACTTCATATTTGCGCCATTAAGTGTTGTTTATTATTGTATATTTATCAATATTACCACATATCATGTAATATTTTGTCACGACACTAGTTAAATAATCTAGTGGATATTATTGTTGGCTAAGATTAACCCATCTTGTTAAGAAAATTTAATTGTTTAAATCTAGATCTAAATTTTGGGTCAAACAAGGACAAGGGAACTAACCATGAAGTTATAAATCAGATAAAGCCTAACTACAAACCAAGTTTCAAGCCCAACCAGAATTCAATCAAAACCCAACCAAAACACGTTTCCAGTGAGCTATACAGTACGAGAATAGTCCAAATATTATACATGATGGCCCTCCCTTCAAAATAGACCTTACTAATCCAAATATTTTCAGAGATCTACACGTCTTTGCTGCTTTAAATTTAAAGAAAGTGATGTTTTTATCACATCAATGTCTAATGAAAAACAAATTAATGACGTTAACCAATAATGAACAAATCATTATACTCCTATATCATATGTTTATATGTACACATGCACGTACATATATACATATTTATTTATTATTTATAAATGTAAAGGTTAAACTACTTTACTCCACCTAATCTTTACCAAAACATTCAATTTTATCATTATAATAAAATTAATTAATAGATCGACATAGAATCAATTATGATGGAGATGGTTTATAATATTCAAATACAGCATAAACTTGTATAGATATATATATACACTTGAGGCTTGGCCCCTTAGCATCATCATCATCTTGTCTGACACCATCTTCAAACTTCTTCATTTTCCTTCAAGAGAATTCCAATGGCGATTTGGTTTTCGAGATCAAGAAGCTTAAACCAGCTTTTACTGAGTTCAAGAATTGCTCTCTTGTCTCTTCTTGACAAGAGATGGCACGGCACCAATTGATCAGGGCATCATCACTTGCCACTATAGCTGGTTGTAGGGGCGGTTGCGGTGGTGTTAAGAAGCTGCCGGTGACTATTTACGGCGAGTCTGCCGCCGCCATTTTCATATCGAGACGTTTTGAATCCATGAAAGCTGGAGAGAAACTGAATCTCTACAACTGCAGGGAGGATTATAATGATGGCCTTAATGACAAAGATCAGGTAATATTTGAACTCTCCTTTTTCTTTTATTAATTACTATTTCTATTTCATTTTATATGACCATTCCCC